ATAAATATCTTTATAAGACCACAATAAATTTTTTAATATAATAATTACTTTTTGCAAATAAAAAGCGTATATATTGGCAAAGAGTGGATTTTTGTATTTACAAATTTTAATTTTTATTTATGTATGAAAAAATATATTGTAATAATATAATGTTATTAACTTAATAAAATATATGTATAAAAGTATATGTAAAAATAATCGACAATGACATCGCATGATTAATTCGTGTCATGTCATAAGACGCCAGCTTCAAATCAGCGGTACAGCGTTTCTCGAGAAAGAAGAAGACAGCAGTTGTCGGTACTCCTTTTCTACCGCTCGAACTTGGCCGAAGCGCGGAGCGTACACGGACGAGCGCTCGCGCTAGTGTGTGTGTCAGTCTATCCCCTCTACGTGCTGCAGCGTGGCTGCAATCGTACATGAAATGGCATCCCTGGTGTGGTTGTCAAAAATATCACATTTAACACTTAAAAGCCTAGTTTTTTATTTTCTAACTTATAGTTTAGACTTAATCTGATGATAACAACAATTATGTGTTTTTATTTATAATTAATAATTAAATGGATGGTTTTATAATAGTAACTTTAAAAATCATCAGTTTAGTGAATAACTATATATAGAAAATCATAATTTTGTTATTATCATTAGGTTATGTCTAACTACAAGTTAATCAGAAATTGAAACCCGGACCAAAAAATACTTACAATTTTTCGTTCTCGCTATTATACCTTAAATGTCCTCGATCAAAATCTGGGTACTTTGCCATAAATGACATTATTTCTTTTTGTTTTTCTGTGACATTCATTGTCACTATTTTATTTTGAAACTCAACTTTTTACTGTCTTAAGTTTCATCGATGAAAAGAGGAAATGCTAGAAAAGAAACTTCTTACTAAAGCTTAGATAGAAAACTAGAAAATGACTCATGTCTTGCGAGTAATATTCCCGTGAGCATATGAATATCACTTTTTCACTTTGTTCATAGCCAATCACGCGTATGTTTTTACATGAAATGAAAATGCAAGAAGTGAGAACTTTCGACAGAGATACGTAATCGATCCCCTAGAGTAAAGATAAACTTTTACTTTATGTTATTACGGATAATACATTTTATTCATGAATTTTATTGTCATGATAATCGCTTAGTAAAATACGAAACATAATCAATATGTTGCGAAAATCATTCAGTGATTCATTTCAGCCTTACTAACGTTTATGCATTGATGAAAGTTTGCTTTTGTACAAAAGATGACTGTCTTTTAAGCAATATATTTAATTCCTTCAAAAAGAAATAAATTTGGCATTAAATCATTTATTCTTTGCGATTGCAAGACAGGATATGTGCAAGATATAATTGTTTATATCGGGTCATCTATGACTATGGATAGCGAAATTAAAAACATTGGAAAATCAGGAGCAATAATATTATCACTATTTCCACTATACACACTGCAGATTTTGCAAGATTATCCAGACATAGAGAGAAAAATGTTGTGCAAAAGCTTATATGTGTCATAGATTATAATAATTCAATGGTAGAGTAGATAAAGTCTATATAATCATAAGCACTGTAGAGTCAACACGCAAATCTTTGAATCATTAATAATGTATTATGGAAAACATTATTATAAACAACTTCCAAAAAAAGACAAAAAAAAATGTGTGTGAAGCTGGCGTCTTATTTCGCAGAAACTCACAAATTATTGAGAGTTCTGGCTTTCTTTTGAATAGTTCTAGAATTCCTAATAAGTTAAACAAATAGTTCTGTTCATTAAAGCGAAAAAATTAGTTCGGACAAAGTGAGACGCCAGAATCACACTCAAAAAGTATAATATTTAAGCTAGAATTCCGAAATAGCGGCCAGTCTCATACCTTTCTGTCTAAGTATGTGATACTCGGACGGTATTTATTTATTTAAAAATTGTACGTTATTATAATTGGTTGGAACTCTTTAGAAAATGCTTCTACACGTTGAGAACTATACGAAAAGTATAATTTTTAGGTCAGAACGAGTTATTTGTTTGTGTTGTAGCTCGATCTGTTATTACATTGATTGATAATTATTCTTTATTTATGTTTAAATAATTTTTGCTTTAATTTGACAGAACTCTTTATAGAACTTTTGTGGAACTGTAAATCTTTTAAAATCTTGCATTGGCGGATGTCGGAACTCATTTAGGACAAAGTGAGACGCTGTGTGATCCTGGCGTCTCACTTTGTCCGAACCAATTTTTTCGCTTTAATAAGCAAAATTATTTGTTTAACTTATTAGGAATTCTAGAATTATTATTCAAAAGAAAGCCAGAACTCTCAATAATTTGTGAGTTTCCGCGAAATGAGACGCCAGCTTCACACACACACACACACACACACACCAAAAAAAGACATGTAATTTTAAAATAAGTATACTGCACTTTTCCTGGTTTGTAAAAGCACATATAGATATAGTAACATCTTGTTGTTTTTGTATCTTACCTTTTAATAATTAATACATCACGATTACTATTATTAATGACGGAATATAAGATAACTGTTAAAATTGCTGTGAATTGGAAATTTCTGTCGTGATGTAAATATTCTTAAAAGTAAAAATATATTTATTTTTAATTAATTTTGATTGTATTAAATTCTATAGTTATTAACACAATGGTTCCATGGTAATAATGTAAAAATTGGTGACATTAATAAAATTGTTGAAATTGATGAAGCGAAAATTGGTCAAAGAAAATATCATAAAGGTTTAAAACAGGATAATGGGTATTCGGGGGTATAGAGCGAAAATCTAAAAAAATATTTATCACCAATTCAAAATCGGAAATCGGAAACTCTCATACCAATTATTAAAAAATACATTAAACCTGGTGCTATTATTTATACCGATTGTTGGAAAGCTTATGATAATTTAAAATATGAAAATTATATTCATTATACAGTTAATCACAAAAACAATGTTGTATATCTATGTACAAGAGTTCACACTCAAAATATTGAAGGCTCTGAAGAGATATGAAAAACGTGTTACCTCGATAAGGAACTTCTAACGTTCATTACGAACATTACTTGAGTGAATTTGTATTCAAACATTACTATTTAGAGGAACGTATTGATACATTTTTTAATATTATAACTCATTTCTATTTACCATAACGTGATTAATAATGCATTTATTTAATAATGATATTATAGAAATAACTGATTGTGTGTTATTTAATGAATAAATTGTTCATTTTATCCTTTTTTTATTAATAACTTTTTAACGAACAGTGACCGTCATTTAAAACCTCACTCAGGGTAATGACCCTAACAACATATATCAAGATCAAGATCATTGAAGGAGGCGCTCCGTTTTTCTATATATTTACCAAAATTTAAATATAATTATTTCTATTATGTCAATTTACAACACATACACATACACACACACGCGCATGCGCTCGCACGCACGCACACACTCATACACATGTATCTATATAAATATCTATTTTTATTCTTTTTAAAAGGATTTTAAAAATTTGTTATTAAGTTTTATTGATGGACATATTATCAAATTGAGAAGCACAACATATTCAATGAACCCAGACGCAAAAAACTGACTGAATTTTTCGTTACTAAATTTATATTTTAAAAATCTGGAGATATTACAGAAATGTAAATATTTATTCATAGAAAATATTTTTGCTATATATTTATATCAATATATCGATATATTATATATATTACATTCAATATATATTACATTCAATATATATTACATTAATATATCTTATTAATATGTACAGACTTCGCTTATGTAATGCTAATTTTGATGTTTTATCAAAAAAGATTACGAATTTATTTTCAAACGAACAACAAGCATTTTATCATGTCCCACCTAAGTCTGAAGAACCTTCTCAAAAAGTATCAAAAGGAAAATTACCAAACTTTTATTGAAATAAACTTGATGAATGTAGACAAATCGCTAACTAATGCATAAAAAAACGAAAGAAAATTGACGAAAATATTAATGATTCAGATGATTATTAAATCAAATATTAATTTTAATGATAATGACAATAGAAAGTTACCATTATTTTTTTAAATTATATTTTTAAAATATTATATTATATTATATTATGATACTGATTGTACATTAATATCGTATAAAAACTGTTTTTTAAACTAGAAATTCAAATTTTTAAATGTAAAATATAAATTAGAATTAAGCGTATTTGCAAAACACATCTGCAATGATTATGATACAATACTGCACCTTGGTTATCTGTAAAAGAGCATTGGGATGAATCTCATGAATTGAGAAAAATTTTTATCAAGTAACATAAGGAAAATATTTACAACATTTTCAAGGAATATCCAGTATTCAAACAAGAATTGGGTTATATACTTGTTTGCAATATAAATCTTATTTCTATTTTTTTTAATATTTTAATAATTTTTTACTATATTTCCTATTTTAGTTGGATGATGATTATAACGCTTTAATTGATAAAAAATCAAACATTTATAACGAATAGCCTGAACTATCCAAGAAATTAGAAACATTACTCGAAATTCGAGTTATGAAAAATAAAACTTTTGCTAAACAGTTGGAGGAGATTCAATTATACCCAAAAGGAGAAGGGTAATAAAATTATTAGATATCAAATTAAAATTAAAAAAATTTACTTTATGGATAAAAGAAGTAATTTTTTAATATATTGTACAGAATGTAGAAATGCTACATTGCTTTTTTTAATATCTGTATTGTGTCCTAATGTTCAACAGATATAACGTTTAAAGATATAACGACACGCCCGAATCACTCTTCTCTCCGTAAATAAAATTGTTAAACGGCATGAATTATATTTGTATTATATATTCAGTCCCCGATCGATCATCTGTTGGGGTTCCGACACGGTGATTCTCCGCGATCCCATCGTCAGATAATTCGTGTCGACCACCAGACGAATTCAAAGGAAGTGAATTCATGTGAACAACGTATGAATCATAATAGACCGCGCGTTAGGCCATTGTCGTTGACCCCGCTACCGATCGCGCCACCGAACGTATCCGCGGAATCGCCGAGTTCGGCGAATTTTGCGAATCTTCCGGCAAGATCATCTCCGAAGTCGACCCCAGAATCCGAGCTCGGCCAACCTGTACTCGATTATTCCTAATCTATGGCCGACTCGGATATATTAACCAACTCCGGCAGATGATTTTGGCCTATTACTGGCAAGACAGTAGACATATCCAGTGACATATCCTGATCTCGATATATCCGTTCCAATCCAAAAAAGCGATCTAGGGCGCTTCCTAACGAGCCAGGAACTTCTGGCCTCCTATGGTTCGGACCAATCCTGACAAAATTTTAATTTTTGGTTTAATTTTATACAATTATACATTGTAATAATAAATAGTTGATAAGTAAGTCTAATTAGAAGTTTAATTTAACATTTGAAGAGAGTCTAACTTAAAATACAATTTATTTTTGATAAGTTGATAAACGTATAATATTTATTATAGCTATTATAATATTAATATAAGTAAAATATAAATTAACTGATTGAAAAATCTACAATTTTAAGTTAAATTTAATTTTAAATTTTGTATAAACAAATAATATAAAATAACATAAAGTAAAGATTACAAAATTAATTTACGTTGCATATGTGCTTTATGAAATTTTTATTATTTTTTGGTCATGGTAAAATTAAATGTAATTTTAAAATTTTATTAAATAAATCTGATTCTATGTGATTATGACCCAAAATGTTGCTATTTATGCGAGTCAAGATTTGAGAATATTAATCCGTTTATTTGTCATTTTTCTGTTTTCCATTTCAAACTTGCAATCGTTACATATATATGCAAAACAACTACTATCGGATTTTTCAAAAAATTTTCACTGTAAGATTGTTCAAAAGTCATTTAATTATCGATCATTCAATTGTTACATCCAGCCCGAGGTAAATATTTTTTTGGAAAATGGATAGGCTAGGAAGGACGTTCCAAATACCCTCTCACAGGTGGGCGCGCTGAGGCGTCCCTACGAGTCGGACACACTGTGCAGAGCCACGAGTGCGAGTCAACGTCTTGAAAAAGACGCTATGACTTCGACTGCGTGACGTGCGTCCGTCGGTCCGTAATTTAAGCAAGAGAATTTAATCTCTTTTGCCAGGGACAGGATCATGTGCGAATGGGATAACGGGGAATAGAAAGGGAAGAAAATAACTAAAACGGATAAATAATTTAAATTTTACATGTAATTAATAATTTTAAAACGATTACAAGTTTAACTAACTACAAGATCCGTGTCATTATTTTTTGTGTTGAAGTACATTTACTGAAAGTATATTTACATTTGATAAAATAAAAAAAGGTGTTACGTACGGAAATTCATATAATATAAATGTTTTAAAAATTGACGGATGTATTATTTAATTTCCGTGTACAAATTCGATTATATTTGTATATTTGTCTACATTCTAATTATTCTTATCTTACTTACATGGTTTAGTATATTTAATCTATATTTGATATTTTTATCCTATGTTGTTAATCTATTTAAATCTATATTTAGTTATCTGTGTGTGGTTGTTTCGGAGAGGAGGTCGGATTTCTGATGGTGAGGTCTAGGGGAGGAGGCGAAGGAGTCCGGAGTTCGCAGAACTCGTCCAAGGATTTCTTGGTGCGGAAATCTGGATATTGGAAATTAGTGTCATGGCGCTCTGAGAAGAGTGCGCTGAAATTTGGGGGTGATCCAGATTCGGATGGTCTGATCGGGGAATAGGAGGAGATATGTACAAATAATAGGGTCTCCTGCTGGAACAACTCGTGGTTTCTTCAGCATGTGTAAAAACCTCGGATGTCCTAGGCGAGAGGTAGTTGGCTGATCGACGAGCTCGCTTGTTGCGACGATAACGGAGTCTCTTCAGGGCTCGCCTCCATCTCTGAGCGTCGGAAAGAGAGGATGATGCAGATTTCACTAGAAGAAATGGATTTGGAATATGAAGGAAATGTCATTGGTCGTAAACCTTAAGGCTATCTCTGAAATATTTCAGGAGACCGAGAGATCCGACAGAGGAGAGAAATTAAGAAAGGAAAGAGAAAATTATAAAAGAGGAGAGAAAAAAGAATAGATTTTCCGAATTATTCGGTGGCCATGAACCTGCTGAGTGTTCCACAACGCATAGGGAATCAGTGAGGTTCGACGGCCGAAGCAAACAGAGAAGAAGCAGATTTGCCGAATTACTCGGCAGCCATGAACCTGCTGAGTGCTCCGCAACGCATAGGGAGCTCGAGAGATTCGACGGCTGAAGCCAACAGAGAAGAAGCAGATTTTGCCGAATTATTCAGCGGCCATGAACCTGCTGAGTGCTCCGCAACGCATAGGGAGCCCAAGAGGTCCGAGCAAAGAAAGAAAGAGAAAAGAAAAAGAAAAAGGGAGTAGAAGTGTAAGGAGAATAACAGAGGATAGAAAGGATGTAAGGGAGAAATGAGAAAATATTGGGAGAAGAGACCCAAAAATTATTATTAAAGAATTTTATTACGTGTAGTCGAACTTACTGTTATTCTGGAATGCCGGAGACTTGGGACCTGCGAGATGATGAAGATGGAAGCGATGTCGCCAGGAAACTTGGTCACTTGTACTTGGTGAAATTATTGATTTATTTCGACTTACACTGACTGATTGGATTACTGACAACTGACGGACTGAAACTGTTCTGACCGCGTGAAAAAAGGAAGTAGCAGTGCGCGCTCCGTGCCTTTAAGGGCACTATATATATATATATGATTTCGTTGAGGAACATCTGTACACATGTTGTTTTTCCGCGATTAGGATAATAGGGATTATTCACTTAGCCAAATTCTTAGTAACTCCCGGAAGAGATCAGTTGCGTCGAAGAGAACCGTCGCGATCTAACAGCGTAACAGAACATGTGTCATCCGTTTATCTGCTTAATTAAATTCTAATAACTGATACCTGAAAGAGAAGAATCGTGCAGTCGTCACGACGTAACACAATAGATAATACAAATTCTTCGAATGTACGATTGAATCTATCGCTGACTTATCAGCCATTAGTAATATTATAACAATAGTGATAATATTTTGATGTTTCTGCTTTATTCATAAATGAAGATGAATTTATTTGTGATTTAGTAAAATTTGTAATTCTAGTTTTTATAACAAATTGTCAATAAATAGAATACATGTGCCAACAGTTGTTAATACTACACGTACGTTTATAAAAAAATGTACTGTTTTCATTCTTAAACCAAATATTTTAAATAATCAAAGAAATAATCAAAGAATAATATTTAAATATTTTAATCTTCAATCAAATATTTTAAATCTTCTTACAAACGTTGACGATACAATTTGATATCAAATTGAACATATTTTTAATTTATTTGAAAATCACTATCAGGCTGCTCCTCGCCCTGATGAAGTGGACTACAATGTTCACGAAACGTTGGCATTCAACAATGCATAATGATACGGATAATACCCGTAAAAATATTTACTTATTTGAAAATTCGAATCACTTGATTTAAAATTCAAATGATTCAAATACTTTAATAGAACCAGAATCGTACATAATTGGGCAACAAACTATTGGAAAAAAAATTGATTCAAATTATATAATTAAACTTAGTAATGTAACAGGTCAGTATATATCAAGTATAGGGATGTGCTTGAAAAAAATGGAGTCTAACTGACAGTATATTATTTTATCTTTTACTTTAAGAAAATACAACCTAAGTATTGTTCCATATGTATGATAATTATAATATTATATTTATATAAATTATCTTTTTTTAAAAAAAGATAAAAAAGGATGTCAAGTATAGTGGATATTGCCAAATGATTGTGTAAAATTTATATAAAAGATTTTATATCAATAATCGGCGCCAAGTTATAATCCTACAAACATGGAGCTACTAGTCCATTTTAGTCAAATTATATATTTCAATCGTATAAAAGATTTGATAAACCATTGTTTTAAAAAAATAAAACTCAAGTAGTAGTTTCTTTAATTTAAAAATAATAAAAACCAAATTATATCTATATCTATATGTATATCTTTCATTAAAAACTTCTTTTTCTAACCCAAGTGGTA